TCCTACAACGAGTGCATGGCCCAGATGTTCTTCCTCATGACCTTTGCAGGAACTGAATGCGCACTGCTGGCTGTGATGGCCTATGATCGCTATGCGGCGATCTGTGAACCTTTGCGCTATACGCAACTCATGAGTAAGTGGGTGCGAGTCCCTCTGGCTACAGCTTCGTGGGTCTGGGGCGTGATTGACTCTGCCATTCACACTGCCCTGGTCACCGATTTGGCCTTCTGTGGAGACGTCAAGATCCATCACATCTTCTGCGACGTTCCTCCAATCTTGAAAATTGCTTGCAGTGACACCTATATCAACGAGATGGCTCTTCACACAGCAAGTATCTTTGTAGGGCTGTGTCCTTTCCTCCTTGTTGTCATTTCATACGTCTTCATCTTATCTTCCATTCTGGAAATCCGCTCTAACAGTGGAAGGAGAAAGACCTTCTCCACCTGTGCTGCTCACCTGGTTACTGTCATTATTTTCTATGGGATGATCAACTTGAATTACAACCGTCCCAGTGCAGGCTACTCTTTGGAGGTGGACACCTTGGTTTCCACCCTCTATTGCATCATCACCCCCATGCTGAACCCCCTAATCTACAGCCTCCGAAACAAGGAGGTCAAAGGGGCCCTACAAAAAATTCTGGGCACTCAGGAGAAGGAAGATGCACCACCTGGAAAGCAATGAAGGAAATCTTGGTTTCCTTCCTACCTTCTCTGCTTTTCTATAGAGCAACAATTTTGTGTTCCCAAACGAGGGGTTGTGTAACTTCAAATTTCCATATGGCTCATTGGCTCGATGTCTCTGGGATTCTCCCAGCCGTTTCCTTCCTTCCCATGTGCTCATTGTGGTTTAACCCTTTAAGGTGGGAATGGGGAAAAAAAAAATAGATCGGGAGAACTTCCTCCCACCTATTTCCAAAACATTTTTGAGGTATTTTCACAAGGCAAGGATGTCCTTCGACTTCACAGTTGTTTATAGTAGAGGTGGGAATCCAAGGTGACCAAAAATGGGTGAAAAAATAAAAATAAAATAAAATGTGTAAACTGAGAACTGTTTGTCCAAATTGCCATATCCAGCTCCATCTCCATCTCCCCTTTGCTAGATCCCAGGTTTCCATGAACCAATGGGGGGGGGGGGAATTATTTGAATTGGGGAGAACTGAAACTATTCATCCTACCATCCTGAGACATTGGTTCGACACCCCAAGTCCAGAGGCCTCTGATGGAAAGCAGAACAGCTCACCCTCTAGTCTGCCCTCGCAGGGACCATTTGTAAATCAAATTCTTCGAATGTAACGGGACAAGAAAGCGATAACGGTGTGTGTGTGTGTGTGTGTGTGTGTGTGTGGGAGGAATGGGAAAAAGAAAGTTAACTGGAGAAGCTTCATGCGCATGTACTTTAGTAAAAGTATACCTTTCGCACAAATGAAGTCGAGGAAACCAGGGCAAGAGAGGTGTGACACTTTCTCTGATGATTTAGTTGTATTTCTGCAAGACCCAGAAAGGACAATGGAATATCTTTGAGGAGGAAACTCAATGACTTTGGAGTTTTAGCAGGTTTCTAACTAAATAAACAGTAAACAAAAATGCCGGCTAAGGATATCACTATTCAAGATTGTGAAACTTTGACATGAATGTTGGAAATGGAGAAAAAGATGGAATATCTTGGGGGCTAATGTTGATCAATCTAAGCTATCAATGGTTTTAAAATAAATGTGTGCCTGTTTTGAGTAATATTTTAAAAAAACCTACTATAATCAGATAAATTGCAATATCTTTACTGGGTA